TCAAACCAGCAGATTTTCATTATTTCATTAGACCTGTCATAGAACTTCAGGGGCCTTTTGGTAAACCCCAGAGGGGTTATATATGATGGAAGTTTGAGGTGGACGTCATTGCAGACGACAGACTATGAATAAATAAGGCAAATGAAGGGAGATTAGTTCTTGGAATACAGACTAGGTTTAGAGCAGTGAAACATCTAATGCAGTAGTTTTATTGGAATAACTCAGAAATGAACAGAGACAACAAGTGTTGAACAGCTTCTTCATTTCTGTTTCTTCATTCATGTTTCATCATTTTTTCCCATAATTAAACAGTAGAGAAACAGACATTTGATCACCTGAAAAAGGAAAAGTTGGGATAACATTGATTATGAACAAAATAAAAAAAATGCAGTTAAACTTTTTCTCTCAATAGATAGAATTATCAAACAGCATGGGATTCATTTTGCTATGCTGATAAATCTGTGTATCATTTGTTTGTTCCTTTTTCACATTCAAACAACAAAAAAATGCAACAAAAAAAATGGAGTATTTGTTTAAAAAAAACAAATTTAAAAAAATTTAACAATGACCTGCTGCATGTGAAAAGTACCTTCTCCTTAATTTATCCAATATGCATTTAGCCAGGCTGATAAGAATCCTACAGCACATGTTGAGGAAGATTCTCAGTCATCCAGGTCATAGTCCTTCCACAAAAATTAAACAAATAATCAATCCACAGGACTTTGTTTCTAAGTTTGTAGATATTTTTCTTCCCATACAGTAAGTTTTTTAATTCAAAATGTCAGAATTAGCTTTGAGTTTGAGGCTTTATAAAGTTGACCAAAAACAAAACCTTCTTTTGGCTTAGAAAAAATTCAAATTTTACCATCTTTTTTTATTTTATTACTGTTTTTGGAATCCAGCACATGTTCAGTTACCCCCTGTTTGTTCCTACAAGACATCAGACACATCCAATAATTCCTTCATTCAAAACTGAAAATATTGATAAAAAGCAATAATTTAGTCATTCCTTTTTATGGTTGCATCCACACTGTCTGCATAAACAACTGAACTATTGTATAGTTTGAAACAGCAGATTCTTGGCTTCCAACAGGCATGAACACCATGGGGGAAAAACTGATGATTCAAGCAAGCATAGCTGGTTTGAAGATGGTATTTATGGCGAGGGACAGTGATGACAGACTGTTTCAGCTGCATAGTTATTTATCACATTGATCTCTAAAGGTTTTACCCAAGTTTCAGGATATCCTTCATCTTCTCTTCTGTCAAAAGGTCAATTAGTTGAATAATCCAATAAGTTAAAAAAAAGGTTTTGATGAAAAATTAATGTCATTTGTTAATAAATTGGTGTTGCAACTGTCCACATTTGCCGATTTCTGTTTAATCACATTTTACTAGCTTTACATCAGACTCCCTAACGATCCTCTATGAGTTTTCAGAGGAAAGATGTGAGTTTACTATGTTAAAATATGGCTATTCAAATCTAAACAGCCTCTGAGAAATTGAGAGAAAACTCAAAAGTGCTGCAACTATCCTCACTCTCTCTGCCTTGATTACTAATGATAACATTTTGGTTTATAAAACAATCTAAAACATGAAGCCAATGATTCTAAGAATCATCCAAAGCATGAAGAAGAATGACGAATCAAAGTATTGTTTGAACAGACTAGATGATATCCTTATTTCATAATTCATGTATGAATTTATGATAAGGAGTTTACAAGGTCTACATTTTTTCCACATCATGGAGAAATTATACAAATCGGCCTATTTATGTCATTTCTACACATGGTAAACAATTAATTTTGAAAATCTGGTTTATTTATAGAGTTCTGTTCACAGATAACTGGTCAATAGAGAATGAGATTAGATGTGAAATTTAATAAAATCCCAGAGAAACAGAAGCTACCCATTGATGGAGGAGGATAGGTACAAAGAAGTAGAAAATCCCTAGGTAAATATCTGCCTGCATAAATAGTCTAATCTAATATTGATCTTATTTACATTCTATTCATTCATTTCATATTGATAACTGCTTATGAAATATTATTTATGTTTGTGAAAGTGTTACTACACCAACGCTGATTAAAACACAGAATAAAGAAATGTGTATAATTCTTCGTTAATAAAAAACACCACACGTGCAATTCAAAGTGCAAAAAAACAACAGATAAATCCATTGATGTTTTCCTGCAGGGATCACATCCATCTCACAATCAGTCACTAGGGGTCAGCAGTTTTACTAACTTCCAGTGAGCCGTTGCTCAGCAGGCGTATTTTTATATCAGGTGGCAGCCCTTGTTTAATCAGTTGTTTTTTGAGCTGCAGAAAAAAAACACAAGATATATAAGAGACAAATAAGTGGTGCTTTTTGGATATGATGAAAAGCTTCTATGATTAAAACTAACATCAACAGCTGAGCTAAATTGCATCACTGAGACAAACCTTTTGGATTATTGTTTAACATTATCAACACATTTGGACTAAACCAGTTAAAAACATCACTCACCGCTTTTACAATTTTGTCCTGATCATCTTTCAGTGACAGTTTAGTCGAGATCTTCAGTCTCACAACAGTAAGATGAGCTGGAAGCACAAGAGATCAACATGGTTTACAGAGATACTTTCACTTACTTACCGCTTTAGTTCTACTTACATGTTTTTGGAGGAGGATTTAAAGTTGTCAAAGGGACAGTGGATGGGACAGCAGTTGAAGTCACTGTTCCTCCTTTGATAGCAGCAAAAG